CCCAGTGATGCCGTCGGCAGCGGCGGCGGCGGCGGCGGCAGCAGCGGCAGCGGCAGCGGTGGGATCAGTCCCAGTTTCAGCAGCATCGGTAGCTCGCGTGTCGGGTCAGCCGCAGGTCGGGGCTTGTCCTCCCCGGCCGCATCAGCCTCCGCCGCCTCCGCCTCCACCGCCGCCGGCGGTTCGTCCATGCAGGCTTCCTGGCTTCGGCGGCGGAGCAGCACATTTTCACCGGTGGTAGAGGATGAGATAGAGCAGTACATGGCCGCACTGGCCGATGGGAATGACACTGCGCCCGCGGCAGCGCCGGCAGCGCCTGCTGCGGCGCCCGCCGGTCTGCAGGTTCCGGAGGCCCGGGAGGCGCTGGCGAGCCCGGGAGGCGCCGCACAGCGCCACTTGCCGTCGCGGCTGGGAGGCAGTCGGCTGGGCAGCCAGGGGATTTCCAGCGCCCCGTCTGGCAGGGCCGGGGGAAGTGGCGTCAGCTCCCCCGCTATACCCGGGGACGGCACGGGGCTGGTACGGGAGGGCTCGGGGGCTGCCGGGTCGCCGCTATCGCCGCGGGGATCTTTGCGGTCTTAGGTGAGCGGCAGGAGGGCGCGTGCACGTGAGTGTTAGGGCCGTGCGAGGCGAGGAGGGAGACGGTGGAGGAGGGAAACAGGGGCTCGGGGCCGCCCCGGGGTATTTCCCGGTCGGCCTCGGGAGATGCGGCTAGAGACACGAGTCTCTAGGTGACCGGTGTGAAGGAGGCAACGTGGGTCCCGACGTGGATCCCGAGAAGCGCATGGACTTGTGGGTGGCTGGGTGAACCAGCACCCGCACCCGCACCAGCATCAGCACCTTCCAGCTGGTGATTACACACACACGCACACACACGTGACATGACCCCCTGCAGCTTTCCTCCGCCTGGAACGCGCGGGTACATGTGCGTGCGTGTGTGTTTTTGTCCGTACGGGGCGCTGCGTCCCCCGCAAGAGAGGGGTCGGGGGGGTTCAGAGGGGGCCGTCCGTCCGTCAGAGCGGTGTCGCACTGCACTACATTAACTACATAGATTCAAAAATAAATAATATATGGAATAGGATAGATAAAAAGGCGTATATTTTGATTGCATTGCGTAGCTATGATAAGCACTAACGGGAAGCGCTCAGACGCAGGACGGACAAACCTGGGGATTAGATTCAACGCGCCCTCTTATCCGTTTCGAATCTTATGCGGTGCATAATTCATTCTTGAGTCACCCCCCATGTGAGGGATATACGGTTGAAGGGGAGCAAAAGTGCGACACGGCGGTGCAGTAAAGCGCTTGCGCTGGTGTTGATTGCGAAGGGAACGGGCCCCTGGTCGGTTGCTGAGCCGGCGGCTCCGCGCTGCCACGTCAGCAGGGGCCGGTTTCGTCCGGTCCCTGGGCCTGTACTGGCAACAGCTCGAGAGGGAGAGGGGGCGGGAAGGAGGGAAACCCCACCCAGGACCTTAGCCCAACGTTTCTCCACTGTTTTGTGGATTTGATTTTGTGGAGTGGGACTTAGAACGGTGGATGGGAATCGGTGGATGGGGTAAAGCAGCGAGGAAGTGAGGAAGGTTAGGAAAGGCCGCCTGTGGCGATGGTGCGGTGAAATAATTTCCGTGGCATGCGTGTTTGTGTGATGTGTGATGTGTGGGAAAAGGGCTCATATCTCCACCCTGCGGCCGCTACCCGGCAGACCCTGCCTTCCCCGGTATTTCGGGGCACCCTCATCCAATCACCCTAGCCGACTTCTCAATGGATGGCTCAGGTTCCACACCCACCACCGGCGTTCCCGGGTCAACACCTTACGTCAACTAGGGGCACTTGTATCTTCCTCCATCGAAAGGATTTACCGACCCTGATAGGTCTCGATCCCGAAACCTCCGGGGGCATCGATGTGTGCTTTGTAGTGCCTGACCTGTTTGTGCGTGACCTGTTTGTACGTATGTAGTGCCTGACCTGTTTGTATGTATGTAGGTATATAGGTAGGTAGGCGTGTGCGCGAGTGTATGTATATATGGGTGTATATGGGTGTATTAAGAACGGCGAACATCGCTCATGTGTGCCACATCCCCCCTGGCCCGCGTGGCCGAGTACGCCATTCGCAATCACAACTGACAGATGTGGCGTTCGTTCTGCCCGCAGGCCCCCCTCGAACCGCGCTATTGTTTAGCTAACCCTTCGCTCATTTCTTTTGCTGGCATTGAGACTCAAAGAACTTACCAACCAATCCAACCGACACGTCGGCATGCATGTGTGCACATGGTATACACATGCCAACGTGCGGGCGTCTCGGGGTCCCCCAGCTCCCCCCCCCATACACACACTCCCCACCCTCCCCACCGTTCCCATGTTTCCGTGTTGGAAAAGGGAACCCGACCCGCGCATCCCAGCAGACCGGATGGTCAGTCAACTCGTGCATTACGATTTTCATGGATCTTTTTTAGGTTTATGAATACTGATATTAGGTACATACTGATTTGCAGCAGCAGGTATCAGGCGCAGCAGTACGAGTACGAGTACCAGCAGCAGTACGGGGGTATGGGCACGGCTCGCAAGGCGGGCGGGGGGAGGAAAGGGGGGAAAAGGGAAGGTAGGCAGGCGGTAGGGTTGCTACTGGTTGGAGATAGTGCGCTGTCATGGAACTGACTGACCGACTGACTGACTGACTGCAAGTAACGAGACGGATTGCTGGTGAATGCTTTGGATGGACAGGGAGACAGACGGACAGACTGATGGTTGAATTGAAGCATTGTAGAATTGCCGGCGTGTGTCTTCGTTGCTCCGTGCTGCGCTGGGTGTGGTGGATGTGGATGTGGACGTGGACGGGTCCTGTCTCGCTCAGCTGTGCTCCAAGCCAAAGAACTGACGACGGCAACCCCCAGCTAGTGGCATGTCGCCGGGGCGAGGATAGTTCCCCATTACCATCCCTCACCTCACCTCACCTCACCTCACCTGGCTATACTGACATATTCAGTAGAGTCACGCAACTCACATATCTGTCTCCCCCAAACATATGACACACACATACATACACATACACGCGCGCGCGTTGTGCTGTGATGGCGGAGATGTGTGCGTATGCGTGTGCGGGGTTCCGCGTTTTCACCGATCAGCTCCTAACAGAGATACTATAGGCGTGTGCGGGGTTTTTTACCGTTCCGCAGCTGCAAGCGGCACGTACGACACGTACGGCACGTACGGACAGGCGGAGGGCCATGAAGTAGATAATGCAGCAGGGAGCGCAAAGGGCAAAGTATGTTTATACATATACATATATATAACCGGAACTACGATCCTGAGAGTGAAAACTCGTTATGGAAATGGATGTGGATGTGTGGGTGTGTGGATGGTATGGCCATATATGCACAGCACATGCAGGAGGATGGTGTGGGGTGAGGGCAGCCTGGCACGGCAGGGGTACACGCGGGTTGGGGTGGCGCATGCATGGGGTGGTGCATGGGGTGGCGCATGCATGGCCACCCCAGGGGCCCCTCCTGGTTGAACGCCTCCCTCTGGTTGAAGGCCACCCCCCAGGAGACCTTGGAAAACAATAAACACCGCATCGATGGTCCTCCCTGGTCACGCAGGTTTCACAACCTGCTTGTCGTTATATGTCGTTATATATATTGTTTTTTCATCCAGATACTCCTACAGGTATTATTGCGGATATGGCGGGGGGACGTGCGCTACATGTTCCGGAGTAGGTGGTATCGCCGTAGTCAAAATGCTATTTATATACAAATATATGTACGACGTACAACGTACAAAAGTTTACGTGCGCGATGCGGGGTTGTGGCTTCTGCTCCAAGAGCCACTGAATACGTGTTTGTATATGTGTGCACATGTGTGTATATGCGTGTATATGCGTGTGTGTGTATGCGTGTGTGTGTGTACACACGCTGCTAGTATGGCCAGCCACCGCTGGACGGCGCCAGAGGGCCGAAAGGCCTCCGCGACAAACACTTCTTACCCCCCCACTAGCCGCCATCAGCCGCAACCGGGGCCCCGGAAGGGGACGTCGACACGGCGTTGCTTATCGGCCTCATTCCCCTTCCTTCCTACCTCCCTAGCGTCGTACAACGTCGCCTTTTAACTCCTTACCGCACCCATTGTTTCAATTTCCCATGTTACATATAAATACGTCCATCACACCTAAACACAAACACTGTCACGCGGTCCCCAAAACGCACCGAGAACGGCAGCTGGCTCGCAGTCGCAGGCGTGACAGATATTACATATCCTGTCCTTACACCTCCACGCCCGACTGAGAGATTCGTTTAATCGTTTCGCCGACAAACCTGAAACCCTTGTTGTTTTGCCACCCAGCCAACCCCCGATTGCGAGCCTGAGCCGTCCGGAGCCCCTGGGCCGGAGAGCTCTGTGCTGTCCTCCGCCCAGGAAAGGGCCGACACAGCGCCGGAAAGCGGCCCTTCCCCCACTGCCGCTCTGCACTCTCATTGACCCACTCACTCACTCACTCACTCACCCACTCACTCACTCCTGCTGCTGGTGCTGGTGCTGGTGCTCTGCGAAAACGAAAGCCCTACTACTTGTTTCAAACTTGTCAGCATCTTCCGCATCGGGTCTTCCCCCCTGTCTTCAACCCCCAACAACATACAACGCGCATCGCACCTTTGACCTGGTAGGTAGGTAGGTAGGTAGGTAGGTAGGTAGGTGGAGGGGTAGGTAGGTAGGTAGGCAGGTAGGTGGGGGGGTAGGTAGGTAGGTAGGTAAGTGGGGGGGTAGGTAGGTAGGTAGGTAGGTAGGTAGGTAGGTAGGTAGGTGGAGGGGTAGGTGGAGGGGTAGGGCACCAAGACACCGTTCCAGACCGATCCACCAACACCCGGGTGCGGCGGAGCGGACCGGGGAGAGAGCTCTACTAATCTACACCACCACCACCATCACCATCACGTCCGTCACTCCGCCTCCTGGGGGAGATCCCTACCCCCAAACCCACATCAACCCCCGGCAGAACCCCCTCATACTCATCCCCCCCCAAACGGGCCCCCCATCACACACCCGGTCACACCATATGATGTATGTCAACCATATGTCCATGGTTTTCGGCAGTCCTTAACGTGCCTGGCTCCGAAACCACATCCGCCATCACCGCATTAAAAATCCTCCAGACCGTCCTCCAACTCCACCATCTCCTCCTCATCCACTCTGCTGGCGGCATTAGCTACCTCATTGCCGTACTTGCCTCCTGCCGCCGCCATACCCACTACGCCTATATTCTCCTTCCCGTCACCCAGACCGGCTACCGCCGTCTTCCGCAGTAGCCGCCGCCGCTTCCCGCCGCCGACGCCGCCGACGCCGCCGCCACCATTCCGGCCGCCGCCGCCACCGTCGGTGTCGTCGTCCAAGTCGCCGTCAGCGCCGCCGTGGACTGCTGTTGCCGAGCCGCCTAATCGTTCCCGTTGCAGGCCCCCCAGCACGAGCTCGCCGCTGCGCCAGCGCCGACTGCCACCACGCTCGCCACCGCTGGACATCCTTTCCCCAGCTGACGTTGCGGCGGCTGCTGCATCCCTGTTTGCGTCGCCGCTGCCGTCCTCCTCCCCGTCGCCGTCGCCGCTGATGTCACGGAGCTCTTCCGCTGACGGCGCCGCCGCGGGAACGAGCGTGCCTAGTTGTACGGTACGGTACGGCAGTACGGCACACCAAAAAGACACATGTGGGTCGCACGCAGGCACATATACACTTCAAAAGGGAGCGCACCGCCATTTTCCCTTTCTTCTCTCCTGCTCCGGTCATTAAGCCCTCAGCCCTTTCCCAACGACCAACCGAAAATGTGACGAGAGGTGATGACGTCAGCAACTAGCTCCGAGTTTCTCTCCGATTTGATTCAAGGGAACGGGCGCACTTGTCTGCCCTAGGGAGCGCGCGTGTGCCGTACACATGCCGTGGTACTCACGCTTAAGAGAGAAAGACACACACACACACACACACACGCGCGCACACAAACATCTCAGGCGCCATTACGTCATCGTGGGCTTACTACCCGCTATTGACGTCTTGCGTTTCTGCAATATGGGAACAACACAGCACGACACGACACAGCACAGCACAGCGCAGCACAGCTAGCAAGTTCAGCAGAAACATGTCGCCTCCAAAAAGCCTCCAAATTCTCAGGTCTCCCCTTCCCTAAGGATCACCACCATCCTGAAAAACGCTGAAGCTCCGCTTTTTTAACAGCGTCGCGGACAGCCCACCCCTCCCCCCTTTCCCCTCTCTTTCCC